GTAAAGTCTTATTCATTAAAAGTATGTAGTAACATTTTATGAGCTGTCATCAGAGCAACGATCATAGAAATCAGTTATTGGAAAAGAGTTATTAAAACTATTATCTTTCGAAATGTGCTGAAAATACATATATTATATATAAAGTTGTGCACATATTAATTGTAACATAAACTCACTGGCCACTTTATTAGGTACACCCTACTAGTACCGGGTTGGACCCACTTTTTCCCCTCAGAACTGCCTTAAGCCTTTGTGGCATCTATTCTACAAGGTACTGGAAATATTCTTCAGAGATTTTGGTCCATATTGACATGATAGCATCACGCAGTTGCTGCAGATTTGTCGATTGTTGATATGATGCTCAATTGGTACTAACGGGTCCAAAGTATGCCAAGAAATGATCCCCCACACTATTAAACCAACACCACCACCAGCCAGAACGGTTGATACAAGGCAGGACAGATCCATGCTTTCATGTCCTTGATGCCAAATTCTGACCCTACCATTCGAATGTCGCAGCAGAAATTGAGACTCAGACCAGGCAACATTTTTTCAATCTTGTTTTGTCCAATGTTGGTGAGCCTGTGCGAATTGTAGCCTCAATTTCCTGTTCTTAGCTGACAGGAGTGGCACCTGGTGTGGTCTTCTGCTGCTGTAGTCCATCCGCCTTAAGGTTGGACTTGTTGTGTTTTTAGAGATGCTCTTCTGCACACCTCGGTTGTAACGAGTGGTTATTTGAGTTACTGTTGCCTTTCTATCAGCTGGAGCCAGTCTGGCCATTCTCCTCTGACCTCTGGCATCAACAAGGCATTTGCACCCACAGAACTGCCACTCACTCGATATTTTCTCTTTTTCAGACCATTCTCTCTAAACTCTAGAGATGGTTGTGCGTGAAAACCCCAGTAGATCAGCAGCTTCTGAAATACTCAGACCAGCTCGTCTGGCACAACAATCATGCCACGTATAGAGTCACTTAAATTACCTTTCCTTCCCATTCTGATGCTCGGTTTGAACTGCAGTAGATCGTCTTGACCATGTCTACATGCATTGAAATGCTGCCATGTGATTGGCAGATTAGAAACAAGCAGTTGGACAGGTGTACCTAATAAAGTGGCAGGTGAGTGCACACTATATCTGCTACAACGTATGCCCACAGAACATTTGTTTTCATCCATATTTGAAATTTAGTGTCATGAAAGTAATTTTAAACAAAAAGTGGACAATTTACTTGCGAACGGCTTGCATGCTGTCATTATTATACATCAACGTCAGTGTGAACTCAAGTTTCAAGTAACTCTTGCAGTTACAGGTTTCAGACATGAACTTTGTGAAAAAGGCTCAGAATAAAATGCAGATATCAGTTTAAAATTAATAACAACATGTTTATCCCTTCAGGTTAAGAAAAATGAATAATGCTGCCCCGAAGATCAGCAAGTTTCTCTAAGTTGACCAATGTCTTCATTCTGAAGGTAATGATCCTGCCGTCTTCCAGCATGGTAATGAAATCCAGAAGTAGATTCAGTTGTTTTGTCATTGCAGATTGTGGAGGAACCTTCTAGGAGACGCTTGAGTTTGATCCAGAATGGCTGGCCATCCTGAAATGGACAGACAAACCTTCAGAAACCATCCCGCAGTTGCTGGAACCCTCCGCTGGACAACAGACTACACAGCAGATACAAAACACTTGACAATGATCACAATTGCTCATTTTCTGAAAGCTTTCTGATACCACATATTCGTTTCTATTTCTAAATGTTTTAGCATCCTGTTCCTCTGCTTCTTTCAGGTGGGATTTCAGCCCTTCAGACAGACATCTACGTCCTGGTGAAGGGCAAAGTGAACAGACTTACAGGGAGGAGTTTTTTCCACTTCCTTGATGACTTGAAGTTTCAGAAGAACTGCATTTACGGGAATTAAAAATGTAAGACAATATAAATGACTTTATCCTCACTTTTGTTCAATGTAAAGTATCCTTCCCTAAATAAAACTGTTCATTTTAAAGTGTTCTTTGACAAAAAAGAAGAAAAGGGGAAAATATACTCATTCCAAGCTGTTAAATATTGTAATATAATGTTAAAAAAGCTTTGTTATCTCTTCATTAAGTTAGCTTAATAGATGGGGTTTCCTATAAAAATAATCAACTGATCGTGTTAAAATCAGAGATTTGACTCATTTTAGATTTTGTACATTTCTCTGGTAATTAGTCAATATATTTTTTTTGTTTGTTTCTTTTTTTTTTTTTTTTTTTGTAAATTATTGGTGACATTTCCTAAATATAGAAATGACGTTTAAACATTTCTCTCTCTTTTTTGACTAAAATAACCAGATAGTATCAAGTTTTCAGACATGCTCATTTTACTCGACACAATACTAATGTTTTAGCTTTAGAGGAGTTTTTAGAGGAATTTAAGCGAGTTTTTCTGGCAGCTGCCATTTTCTGAAGAAATGCTCTAAACCACAATATTTTTACTTGAAATGTTAAAGAGATGTTATCAGACCATAATAGAATAAAATGCATATGAACATTTTACTTAAACCCATACATTTCAGATTCCTGTCTCCTATTTCTTCTGTTAAACAACTGTGTTTGAATGGGATCGTTATTATAAATGACATCCATTCATTATCAGCATCATTAAATGTAACATCAAACCAAAATATGAAATCAAACAAATGTAAAATTAAGAAGAAATTTAAAAATAAAACACCGGAAACTAATGTTTTGGGTTAAAGGGGTACAAAGAGTTGAGATTCCTTTATCAAATGACAAAAGTATGCATGGATCACAGAAATGAAATGAAAAAGACAGAATCAATGAACTATGAATAGTTTTACTGCTCGTCTTCAAGTATGAGCGGGCGCCGCCATTGGAATCTGTTTGGCTGGAGACTTCCGATCTGGTTCACATCAATTTCTAGAGGTTAAAAACAGCTCGTTATGCTGCTTGATGCTCTTATATGTTCTTGTTGTATTATTCTACTTTTCATGTAAAGTCATGAACACACTTTTTTGTAGAGCAGGTAGTAAAACTGCTCTAGGCTCAGCTCAGGTGAAAACACTGAACTGAAGAGGAACCAGAATGAAGGAGAGGACCAGAGAGAGACCCAGCGCTCCTGACAGAACCCAATCCCTCTGGTTCTAGCTGAACACACAACAGTCAACAAGATCACACACACACACACACACACACACACACACACACACACACACACACACACACACACACACACACACACACACACACACACACACACACACACACACACACACACACACACACACACAACTGAAGTCAGAATTATTAGCCCCCCTTTTAATTTTTTTTTCTTTGTTAAATATTTCCAAAATTATGTTTCACAAAGCAAGAAAATTTTCACAGTTTGTCTGATAATATTTTTTCCTCTGAGGAAAGTCTTATTTGTTTTATTTTTGCTAGAATAAAAGCAGTTTTTAATTTTTAATCCCCGTTTTAAGGACAAAATTATTAGCCCCTTTAAGCTATATATATTTTTTGATAGTCTACAGAACAAAACATCGTTATACAATAACTTTCCTAATTACCCCTTACCTGCCTAGTTAACCTAATTAACCTAGTTAAGCCTTTAAATGTGACTTTAAGCTGTGTAGAAGTGTCTTGAAAAATATCTAGTCAAAATTATTTACTGTCATTATGGCAAAGATAAAATAAATCAGTTATTAGAAATGAGTTATTAAAACTATTATGATTAGAAATGTGTTGAGAAAATCTTCTCTCCGTTAAACAGAAATTGTGGGGAAAAATTAACAGAGGGTGTAATATTTCAGAAGGGCTAATAATTCTAACTTCAACTGTATATATATATATATATATATATATATATATATATATATATATATATATATATATATATATATATATATATATATATACATACACACACACACACACACACACACACACACACACACACATACACCAGCCACTTTATTAGGTACACCTGTCCAACTGCACATTAACACAAATTTCTAATTAGGCAGCAACTCAACACATTTAGGCTTGTAGACAGGGTCAAGATGATCTGCTGCAGAAAAAAAAGTGATTTAAGTGACTTGGAATATGGCAGAGTTGTTGGTGCCAGACAGACTGGTCTGAGTATTTCAGAAACTGTTTTCTGAAATAGTATACAGTAGTATTTCATGCACAAGCAACTCTAGGGTTACAGACAATGGTCCAAAAAAGCGGATTTGCTACAGCAGCAGACAACCACACCTAGTGCCACTCCTGTCAGCTAAGAACAGGAAACTGACGCTACAATTTGCACAGGCTCACTAAAATTAGACAATAGAAAATTAGAAAAATGTTGCCTGAAGAGTCTTGATTTCTGCTAAAACATTCGGATGATAACATCAATAACATGAAAGCAAGGATCCATCCTGCCTTTTATCAATGGTTCAGGTTGGCAGTGAAGGTGTAATGGTATGGGGAATATTTTCCTAGCACATTTTGGGCTCATTAGTACCAAATGAGCATTGTGTCAATGCCACAGCCTACCCTGAGTATTATTGCTGACCATGTCCATCCCTTTATGATCACAGTGTACCCATCTTCTAATGGCTACTTCCAGCAGGATAACACATATGTCATAAATCACGAATCATCTCAGACTGGTTTCTTGAACATGACAATAGCATGTCACTGTACTCGAATGGCCTCCACAGTCACCAGAACTCAATCCAATAGAGCACCTTTGGGATGTGGTGGAACAGGAGATTCGCATCATGGATGTGCAGTTGATAAATCTGCAGCAACTGCATGATGCTATTATGTGAATATGGACCAAAATCTCTGAGGAATATTTCCAGTACCTTGTTGAATCTCAAAAAATCTCAAGGCAAAAGAGGGTCAGTACTAGTAAGGTGTACCTAATAAAGTGGCCAGTGAGTGTGTGTATGTAAATTCTTGTAGTGTATACGAATTCGCATCAGTTGAGTAATACAATTACGTGTAAACAATAACAATGTAAACGATTACAATTTAATTTAAGTCATGATGCATAAACATAACATTTGTTGTTCTCCTAAATACTAAAATGCAATGAAACATTATCATGCTGATGTTTATTTGCTTTATTTTTACAGATTGCATTTGAAACACTCAAGGAATTCCAACTGCATTTAATAAAAAAATACTAAAATGTCTTTATGGCATTAAGACATTAAATACACATCAACTCTGCATAAACATAAACACACAGACACAGTGCATTAATAATACATTTAATATGACATAGCAGAAATGTAAACAGTGAAACCACACCTACTATTCAAATCAGACTCCAGGAACAGACTGAAGCATGAGGATGTTCAGTCACCAGCTCTTCCGATCACTCAAAACACTTCTAGTTTTACTAGTCGAGTGTGCTCAAACCACTCCTTCTCTTCAGCTGCATGTCAAGACAGACACTTCATCAGATCTTCTGTTTTAAGCAACGACACCTGTGAAGATGTCCAATCCCTCCGCTTAAAACCGCACCTGCTAGAAGAGAAGATGTCCACAAGCCTGCCCGAAGAGGATCTGTCCTGTCCAGTGTGCTGCGAGATCTTCCAGGATCCGGTGCTCCTGCCTTGTAGCCACAGCTTCTGCAGGAGATGTTTGGAGCGTTTCTGGAAGAGTGCCCTGCTTCGCAGCTGCCCTGTCTGCAGGAGAAGAGCCTCCAAGAAAAGCCCTCCTTCAAACCGGGCCCTCAAAAACCTGTGCGAAGCCTTTCAGCTGGGAAAAGGCCAGGGGAATGCATCAGGATCCAACCTCCTCTGCTGGAGACATGGGGAGAAGCTTAAACTCTTCTGTCTGGTGGATCAGGAGCCCATTTGTGTGGTTTGCCAAGCCTCAAAAATGCACAAAGGTCACGACTGCTCTCCCACAGAAGAGGCGGCTCTCGAATGCAAGGTAGAGTCTGACAGGGCCACATTGTTTCCTCTAACTGGTTCACATTGTGCAGCAGTCAGTACTGGTGTTCTCATGATTTACAGCGGCAGCGCATAAGAATGCTGTTTATCAAGTTTGCTTTGACGTTATCTCGGTCTGTTCGGCCAAAAAAAAAAAAAAAAAAAGAGATCATGGCAGGCTTTCAAACAACATCTTGTACATTCCCCGAGCTCAAGCTATGAGTGTGGCATATGAGTTCCATTGTTTTCTAGGAAAAGGGTCCAAAATGTTAGATAAATCTTTCAATAGTGTACTTGGATTGAATAAGGGTAATGCTGGTCAGAGAGGGTTGTGTCGGAAAGGAGTTGCGATAGTCACCATTCAGCTGGTGGATTGTAGGTTAGTTTTGGCTGGAAAAGAGAAAAAGTATATAGATGAAAAGAGATGGGCGTCATGGGGGTGCTGTGAGTATACGTTCACCTCACTGCTGGTTTGAGCCTCGGCTAGATTAGTTGGCTTTTCTGTGTGGAGTTTGCATGTTCTACCCATGTTTGCTTGGATTTCCTCCGAGTACTTCGGTTTCCCCCACAGTCCCATGTATATGGGCCATTCTTCAACTTTGGGCACTTTTAGCCTTGTAAAGTTGAGTAAAAAAACTTGTTAACATAACATAGCCTCATAAGTGTAACAATGTGTCTAGTTTTAAGATCTGTAAGAGGACAAACTTAAGATAAGAAGAAAAACAATTTTTTCTATCGTGAACTGAACAAATTTTCACCACATATCAAAGAACAGCTTATTTCAAAATGAAATAAATTATGGCAGTCAAACATCTAGTTTAAGATCATTTTTGTATCTAGTTTAAACAACCCCCCCCCCCCACCCAAAAAAAAACAAAAAACATATATATATATATATATATATATATATATATATATATATATATATATATATATATATGTATTTAAATATATTATATATTAATTATACATTTGTCCATCGAATAAATTAGTTGTATGCTGAATTGTACACCTGTCACATTCTAAAAATTAATTTAACTCTTAATTTGTTAAAGACATTATTTGAAAATAAATAAACTGAATTTGTATATTAAATAGAGCATGAACTTATACATTGTGAATACACTTTTAATGTGTCATGAGAACTTTTTAAATATTTTGAAAAATGTGTGTGGTGGTGGAAATGACATTTCAACAGTTTATTGTGAAAAAAAATTTAAATAGCTTCACCGATTAGCTTTGAATTGATGCTAGCCTTTCAAGTATACAAAACACTCTTATTTATACCTTCATTTTGTTTGGTTTTTAAAAACATTTTTGAAGGTACAACATGTTTGGAAATGATGTGGAATAAATGTATTTCCTTATTAAGCAATATTTATCTTGATTTTTCTTCAAGTGTTGTTGATAAAAATGTAAATTCCCTCCATCTTTAACATGTTCTCAGATGGCACTATTCATTTTCATAGAAACCACCTAAATAATCTTTCACACAAACTTTTTAAAGCGACATTACAGTGTTGTGGAAATGACACTGATACTTTGCGGCAGCTATATTTTGTATTAAAAATAATATTGATAATAGTCTCACATCAACTGTAAAATATTTAATTTTTTTACTAGTGCTTAATTAAGATACACAAATAGATATCAGATAAATAATATTTTAACATGTAATTTTCATTGTTGAAGTTTAAAACTCAACCAGGTGAAAACAGTGATCTTGACACCTAAAAGGAGGTTGAATTATATGAAAAATACAATAAAAAGGTAGAAAAAATTTTTAAAGTAGGTTTTATGATTAGTTTGACAAAGAAAAAGGAATTTGAACAAAATTTTATTTATTTTTGGATATATGATCAAAGGACAAATAAGGATGGCCGTATAATCACTCATATATTGAATTGAATAAACTAAATTGGCCGTAATGTATGGATGTGAATGAGTGAGTGTTTACATCTATCCCAGTTCTGGGATTCAGCTGGAAGGGCATCCACTTGGTAAAACATATGCTGGATAAGTTAGCAGTTCATTCCGCTGTGACGACCCCTGATGGATAAAGGGACTAAGCAGAAGAAATGACAGATTTCTGAGAATGTGCACCTCAGTATTGATACTGATACAACAGCCTCCTACAAACAATCAGGTCTCAAAGAAGCTCTAGTGCTTGAAAAAGGTATGAAGTGTAAGTAAAAAAATAACGAGGATGTACAAGATCTCAAATGGAGATGTTTGTTCAGGATAGCAGTCTTGAAGTAGCCTACATGGCAGTACCCTGGGTTTAGAGTCAGAATGAACATTCTTAAACCCAAACATTTCATACAGTTTTAGTTTACTGCCTTTAAATGTAAATTAAGTTGCCTTCCTTGCATGACCTTGGCAGCCACCAAAGCAGTGTTTTCTTTGTTGAAGGTGCAGCAGGTGATTGTCTTCACAAACATTTTGTTTGTTGTGCTGGTTGAAAGTCTCTTTACAGTCCAATAGTAATGATTACAGTAAATGATCTAACTGTGTTTATAATGTATTTTTATATTCTGGATGAGGCATAAAACTAAAAATTTGCTAAGTAGCCATAACTGTCTGTTAACAAATGTAGATTTGGGCTTTTGTGCGTCTCTGTTCACGCATATCCGCCATTAGCGTGTACCCACCAGCATGAGCACTGCAAGTTCTGAATCAATAAAATCCCGAATCAATACTGGAGTTACTTTTGCACGCTGGAGAAAGGAGACACCATGGCTGATGTATTTCTCTTAGACAGGTATAAAGAGCTGATGTACATTGAGTTTTTATAAATTGGTTATATGCACAGAAGTGTTGTTCAGCCCCTGAAATCTTCTGGCGATAGATGGATGTGACTATTTTCTGTTTCATAAGGTCCTTTTAAAGTATTGAATAAAATAAGCTGCGTCCCAAATCGCATACTTATGCACTATGCTACGCCATTTTGTAGTATAAAGAGTGTAAGTAGTGTGTTCACACTGAAAACTCTAAAAATAATAAGTGCACTTTAATTACCCGGATGATGCACTCATTCAGCCGCTAAAATGAAGTGTGGAATGATGGACACTTCACGCACTTAACGACCGCAGGTTTGCTTACGTAGCGGAAAGGGCGGAGCTATCGGACGCACATGTTGACTTTATTTATTTTAGATAGTGAAAGCAAAATTCTCCTACGAGAGTGATTATAGCGCATCCCGATGGTGAATGCAGCAATACTCACAGCAGGTGTATTTGATAATTCGGTCGTTTATTTCCCTGATTTGGCAACCGTCAAACGTCATCAGGGAAATGGTTTGAATTTCCGCTTAGTAAAAAAAAAACATCAGTGTGCCATTTGGGACGACACTACATACATATACTATCCTGTTGAGTGTATAAGTGCATAAGTGCATAGTGCATGAGTGAATAGTGTATAGTGTGCCATTTGGGACGCAGCTATAGATTTGTATTTAACAACAAAACATCAGTAAATAGCGCTATTCCTCCTAGCCTGCGATATTGAGCTAAAGTTGGTTTTATATTAGGTAATTTTTGAACAATGACAGCCTGTGATGCGCTCCCGATATTGTTTACCATGCTACTCTGAATATTCGTTCTGAAATAGCATGTAAGTGTGGCTTTGTAATAAGTATAATTGTTGCACACCGCCGGCCAACCACTAACTACATTTTTAACTGTGGAATGAAATGAACTAGTGGGTTGTCTGCTGTCGTGTCTCGGTGCACGCGTTTCACGATTTCAGGAAGCATGGCTTTGAAACACAGTCCCTCCCCTGCCGTCCAAAGATAATATGCTATCCGATTAGCATTTTGGCCGATCACCTACTGCAGAGGTTCTCAAAGTGGGGGTCTGGACCCCCCGAGGGGTCGTGGGACAATGAAGAGGGTTGCCTGGTGATTTTCAAAAATCAATTAATTTTTATTAAACCTTAAGACTTACTGTATTTTATCAATAACCTACTGAAGAGAAAAAAATAGTCATTTATAGTTACTATAAACTACATTGTTACTATAGTAGCTTATAGTTCTATTGGATTGCGACTTCTCGGGTAATTACATTATACTAAAGACACAGCAATACTGTCAGATGCAGCAGATTTTGTAACACCAGGTTAAACTTTCTAGCCCATTTACAGCACTGACATACATAAAAAAACAAAGAATAGACTTGGGTCTATTGGTGTGTTTGTGCGCGTCATTGCATACAAGGTTTCTGTATTTATAACCATCACCTCAGAGAATATTGGGGGTCACGAGTCACTGGCATTGTCATTTTGGGGGTCGCGGGCTGAAAAGTTTGGGAAACCCTGACCTACTGCACCTTTAAGTTTCAACACCTGTCTGAGATGGTTATCAGTGTCAGTCATTCATTCATTTTCCTTTGGATTAGTCTTATTTATCAGGGGTCGCCACAGCGGAATGAACTATTGAACTATTCTGGTATTTGTTTTACGCTGCGTTTTTTTTATTTGTTTTACGCACACAGAAATCTCCAAACAAAATGAACAGCCAGAACTTGAACCTGCAACCTTTTTTGCTGTAAGGCGACTGCTAACCACTATTGTTCTCACTGTTCCATACCCATCCCCATTCTACAATAGGTAATCATTTGCTCAAGATGTAATCATCTCAAATAGTGCAGAAACAAGAAACTGTTAACATCTCATTAGAATTCAGCTCTTTTGGGAAATAAGCTTCAACACACAATTTAGAGTAGTAGTTGGGCAGTGGCAGACGAATTTCTTACATATTAAGTGAACCAACATCCAAAAACGTATGGCAAACTTGTGAGTCGGGGGGCTGCACAGTGGCGCAGTGAGTAGCACATCCGCCTTACAGCAAGAAGGTTGCTGGTTCGAGCCTCGGCTGGGCCAGTTGGCATATCTGTGTGGAGTTTGCATGTTCTCCTCGTGTTGGTGTGCATTTCCTCCGAGTGCTCCAGTTTCCCCCACAAGTCCAAAGACACGCGGTACAGGTGAATTGGGTAAGCTAAATTG